AGTATCATGGACCAAGGACAAAAGAAATCACTAACCACCAGCCCCACGAGGTGCTCCACCCTCGTAGTGATGGCCATGCTCTGGATAAAAGTATACAAATAGAAAGAAGGGTGGATTCAGCAAGGGTGTTTTAATGAGCACACTTCAGAAGATCGTGTTTCACTTACAGAGAATGAGATTTCTGATCTCTGGAAGATGGGTTCAATCCACTAGAAGGAAACAAAGGATTCAAGAATCATGAAATTCAACTTGGTTCTTGAAGATAATAGTCATCGATTTCCATGACTCCCTACTCCATGAAATACCAGCTGAAGATTTCACCCATTTATAGACAGGACATTAAAATCACTGAGAGGTGAATCAAATGCACTAATGTCACTTTGATTCAAATAATGCTGCAATAATGGCACAGCATGTCCAACCGCACCAATGAGGAACACGATAAAGAGTCATGACCCAGTTTTCTAAACTCCCGAGGTCATAGCCCAGTGCCTGCTTGACGCCCTGTGGCGAGTGGACTGTAAATGCTACAGTGATCAATGCTCTTCATGTGTGCATTTTTATGTACGTGATGAGAGGTTATAGCCAGGAAATAACTTCTTGGTGTTATACTAAAGTATGAGGACACATTTTAAGGACACATAACAAAACATGCATCAGCAGAGTACATTCAGTAGCATATGTCATCATCAGTGCTGCTCCTAATTCACACATATCCCCCAAATCAACCTCCAGAGTGAAACATGCTCTCACAGCCGTGCAGTGCCAGACTCCCTGAAAGCTCTGCACATAAATGCAGTGATACTAAGCTACTGTATAACAAAGAAAGGACTTCAGCGATCTACTGTACCTGCTGCACAATGCCAACCATGATCTGGACAACCACCACCTAAAAACAGAAAATTATGTTTAATTATCCCATGTAGTGTGTGCACAATCATTTTACATTTTGTTTAAAAAGAAAAAGACAAATATTCAACACATGTGATTTAATGTGGCATACAAAACAAATCTTAGATGTCGGGACTTTAAAATGTAGTAGCTAAGTCCTTACGTTTCAAATTCAGAGACTACAATACAATCAAACGAAAAAGAAATAGCGAAACAACGAGGATTTAAATCAGGAGCAGTCACACTGACATTAGCGGGGACAGAAAACCCCCTGTGCAGTGTCAAAGTATTACAAATGCAATACTTCTGGTTAAAGGTTCAAAGATAATCTGATTGAAGGGCCTGAAGCTATCCAAGAAAAAGGTTTGTTAGCGCTCGTTTTGTTACCATGTCAACAGAGGATGAAGAACGCCACGGAGCGCTCAAGTCTAGACTTGTAAAGAGAAAACTGAGTCATTCATATCAGCGCTATTAATCCTTTTTACTTTTTCTATTCTCCTCTCTCATAGAACAATACTGTGTAAAAGTAACGACACCAGTGTTCAGCTCACCATTTCTATCAGTCTGTGAAGCAGCTTATTAATGCTGA